CTAGCTTCAACCTATTTTTTTCTTTCCCTAACTCCGAATTCTATTCTTCTTTTTCTTTTTCCCCTTCGCCTCGGGTCTCTTCTTTTTTTCTTATTCATTTGCAACTTGGTACTTCTATCATAAAAATAATAATAATAAATAGCAATTCTTACCTAAAGTCCTATCAAGGTCCCCTTCCTCTTTCCTATGTAATATGAACAATAGCTAAGGTCGAAGTGATCGATTTTAGGCAAAACTTTAGATCATCACATTGTGATAGTAACTAAGTCACTACCTTTATTTTTTTTAGGGTAAAAGATGGAGAATGATTAAAAATGCAAAATATAGAACAGTGTGAAGAAATTATCTAGTTAGCTTAGTGTTATGACGGTAGGTTGAAATTAAGCTTGAATAAGGAACGATGCTTTTTCTTTCAATATTTTGTCTATTTCCAAATACTCTAGAACAAAGTATTTTCTTGATTTCTTTCAAGTATCAATCTCTCTCCCTCTCCCTTTTTATTACACTTTTATAGGTTACTTTTGAATGCTAAAATTGGATAACGAGTCCTTAAAGACCCTAAAGCTTTTACTTTTATTCCGAAACCAAAGCAACTTCCTAAAAAATTTCTAAATCTCCAAAATTTTTAAAACCGAGAGGCCTTTTTCTCCTTCGACCCAAATCCTTGTATTTATATTGCTCACCTTTTCTTCCTCATCCACTCGATCATCCTCAATTCATTCGGCCCTCACACAGAGTTATGAAAGACGTCTTGATGCGGGTGTTTTGAAGCTTGATTCTTGGTTGGTATGAATTCCAAGTAGGAATTTGTCTTCTTCGATTAGAAGATGAAAAATAGCTTTATGAGGGAAAATAGTATAATTTTGTTGAAGTGAACGACATGTCATTCGAAAAACTTCCAAATTGGTTTTGTCGTTCGCTCATTCTCTCAATTAACATCCTCGCATATTCTAATTTTCTTTCAATTAGATTCCTTAAGCATGTTATTTTGGTCCTTTGTTCTTCTAAATTTTTGCAATCACACCCTTATGTCCCTTGATTTCAGTTTTTGTTCTTTTAATTTGTTCGGTGGCACCCTCACTTGTGTTTTCTTAACAAATTAATCATATTTTTTGTATTTTTCTTTTTCTCTTTTTTTTTTCAATTTTCATTTTTATGAAAAAAAGTTAACCTAATTTTTATGTTTTCCTTTTTCTCTTTTTTTTTAATGATAAAATAAAGAATAAATTATATTAAAAATTTAAAAATTTAAGTAAGACCAAAACTAATAATAATAATAATAATAAATATGCACATGTAAAATAATTTTTTTAAAAAATAAAAATAAAATTGTGAAATAAATAAATAAAATAAAGATAGGATACACTTTTGGTTATGAAAGAACTAGGTATTTTTTATTTTTTAATTGTTATGTTAGGATATCTTATATTTTTGTTAGAAGATATTTGTGGTTGTGAATTTTACGTTTTGTAAGCAGATTATCTAGCTCTGAACTTTGCTTTTCTTTGTTTTGTGTGGAAGCTGGGGGACCGGGGTGCCGCGTCCCATCCATCCCATCCGATGAAGTATATGATCCTGTCAATGGGCCATCCAAAAGATATGCACATTAAGTTAAGTCCTTCGTAAATGAACGGTATTGCGTATCCTTATCTTTCAATTCGATTTTACATTTTTCACATATTTAATAATAAAAGATAGGAATCTTTAACGGGATCTCCCCCATAATATAATGACAATACAGAGACCATTGCACACGTTGTCATAAACTAATGAGGTTTTTTTTTTATCAGGTAAAAAAAAAAAAAAAAAAAGTGTTTCTTTCCTTTTCCGCAATTGCACCTTTCGGTATGATATATTTTATTAGAGTATTGCTTTACCCCTTAAAAAAATAGATCATTGCTATACTTTCCTTATAAGTTTTGAAAAATAGATCATTGCAATTTCATCCAACCTTTGGAGATCTGTAGTAACAAAACCGTGATCATTCTTTTTTTCATTTTTTTCCCCTGAATCTCTACTATTTTATTTAGAGAAATAGTAATTTTAGAAATCATCACAAAAAAAAAAAAAAAAAAAACATGATGCACTACTATTTTCTCAACAATCAAATAAAAATTATAAAAAAAATATAAAAGATTTGCGATGAATTAATATTTATGATACTATTCACTCAAACTCACGTGTATTGTTTATTTTTATCATTTAGGATATTGTTGTTAGTTTTGAGTTTTTTTGTGGATATTCATATGCAAATTTGATATTGCCTTGGATTTTGGCCTTGATATTTTAGTTCCTAAAGGACCAAGTACTCATGGTTGCTTTTTTCTTTTTTTTTTCAGCAATTTTTTAGTTTTATTATTATTAAATTGGGTGCAAAAATTATAAAAAATCAATTTTTTTTTTATATTTCATATAGGTTGGCGATTTGAAATATGTATGATATGTTTTAGATTCTAATATATATATATATATATATATATATATATATATATATATATATATATATTATTTTTGTTGTTTAAAATTAATTTCTTCAATTTGATATTTCTTATGAAAATTCTTATACATTAGCTTTTTATTCTTTTTTTTTTATGTAATTTTATTTGTTAATAAATATAATTTATTTTTTTCTATGTATAGATTTTTGAATAATTATTTTTACAAAAAATAATAAAAAAATAAAATTTACGTGCTTTATTTGCTTATTCTTCATATAATCAAAATTTATCGAATTATATTTATAATTATTTTTATTATAGCCTATTAACTTCAATATATTCCTTAAAATTGAAGTTTTTTTAAAAGGATTTCTTGATTTATATTGCAAATTCTAATCTACCGAGTATAGTCATGATGTATATATATATAAAAAAATTAGGATAATTGGTTTTATTAAAAATTAATTATGCATCTATAAACTTAACACCAATCATTTGCTATTACTTTTTTTATATTCTAGAATTAATTTCTTTCAAATAAAATAGTTAAAATAATATTTTAGAAGAACTGCCAAACAATTCAAATATGATTTTTTATACTAATATTATATATTACTTTTTAAATAAATATATATAAATCAAATGTATATATTTTCAAAAAGTGAATCTTCTCATCAACATAATTTTTATTCAAGTTTTTATAATAATTGTTGTTTTATTTTTTTGATGCAATCGATAAAAAAATATTAAGATGTTTTTTAAATTTTATATTAATTTTTTTATTTATATTATTATAGGATTTTATTAAAAAAGAATAATAAAAAAATTATTTGATGAGTATTTCTATAAAAAATAGCAAACTGAAGAGATAAAATTTCAACAACGAGTGTTGTGTTTTTTTAACTATAAATTTCATGACAAACATAAAGAAAGATACATTAAATACAAAATTTTAATTAAAAATTATGAAATTAGATGATTTTTTTTTTAATTTTTAATCTTATATATTTAAGTTGATCAAGAATACTGTACAGATTATCGAAATAGAATAAATATATTTTTATTTATTCGGTAAAGTAATGCGGTAAGTCTATTAGTAAAAACTAAAAGAGCTATGATATATTCGATGAACAAAGGCTTGACAAATTTATTCACTGCAAAGGTCAGAGAAAATACTCTCGACTACATTTACGTCTTTAATTTTTTTTTTTTAATTTGAGCTCTTTACGTTTGTTTAATACTAATAATGATAATAATAAGAATAATAAAAATCAATTTTTAAATCAATCTAACTTTATTTTAATTTATTTTTAAAATTTCGAACGTCTAACTATTTATGTTGGACCTTTTTTTTTTATGAGGAGTTAAAATTTATAATTTTGGCTTGGGTGATTTAGGTTTAATTTTCAAAAACAACCTTAGAAATCCGGAAGGTAAAAGAGAGCTGTCATGATTGGACACCCTAAACTTATTAACTATTGGTTCCATAATGAGCCTTCGGAAATTTTTAAGAAGAAAATATCCGTGTTAGAATCCGCCACGTATTACAAATTTCAATCTATTCATAGACACATATTAACAAGAGTGCAAAATGTCAAAGGACAAATGGCATTCTTAAAATAAAAGTCAAGGATAGTAAGAATAAGTCAAAAGCTAAATCACCTGAAATTAAGACATATGTCAATGTTTATTCTTTTGTTTTGTTTTTTTTCCCCTTTCATAATTAGAAATTTTTTTGCTTTATATATTATAATAATAATAATAATAATAATAATTAGACATATTCTTAATTCAACTTTATTAATATAATTATACATATTTTTATATAAAATAATTAGACATATTCTTAATTCAACTTGTGTGTGTGTGTATATATATATATATATATTAAGCTCATTCCTTAGTTCAATTAAAAATAAACTATACACGTTATAAATTTTTACTAATTCTCATAATTAATATGAGGTTTAAATCTTAATAATTGACGAGAAAATACATTTTTTTAATCATTAGGTTAGCCTGTTATGATTATAAACGTTAACGTATTAATAAAAATGTGTAGATAATCTATCTAATATTTTAAGAGGATGTGTGTGTGTGATAGAGAATATATTTAATAAAATTTATGGGGTCTCGTAATTTGACTTAATTATTATGTTAATCTCTTCAATTCAGTTAAAAACAAACTAATTCTTACAATTTAGTATGAAGTTTGAATCTTAATAATTAAGAAGAAAACATATCTTTTTAATAATTAGTCTGGTCTGTTATGGTTACAAGCATTAATGTATATTAATAGGCGTAATTATGCGTAAATAAGTAGATACGGACGGTCATCTTCAACTTCAACGGCGCCACTGCCAAATCTTCAAGAATGACCCACACGCTGACAAGTATTGACAAACACACACGGTGAAGACACGGTCCCCCTACCCTTTTCCTTTTCAGTCTCCAGCGGTGTCTATCCAAACAACAAATCACTTTCCGTATCTGAACGAAGTACTTCCTTCCTTCCTTCATCCTTTTGGGTGCCTTCAACGTTACTCCGAAACACGGCTAACCATGAGGAACAGTTTTAATTTTAACAAACACCACCTGGTCCTCACCCTCCTCCTCGTCCTGCACCTAATCACAACCGTTCATTCACGTTACCTCTCTTATGATTCGTCTGATCTAATCTCCGATGGCGTCCACAACAACCATTACCATGATCAAACAACATCGCCTTTCCATCTCGCACTCAAGAGTAGTACTGCAGAGGAGACGTGCGAGCAGACCTACGGCTTCTTGCCCTGCACTAAGACGGTGGTTGGAAACTTGTTTTTGATACTCGTGTATGGTTACTTGATGTTTCTAGCCGCTACTTATCTGTCCGGTGGGAGTGAGCTCTTGCTTGCGATTTTGGGACCTGGTATTGTTGGTGGCTTGTTTCTCCCTATTCTTGGCGCTCTTCCTGATGCAATGCTCATTCTCGGTAATTTCATCTCCATTTTTGTTTGCTTGTGTGGAAAATGAGAGATTGGGGTAGAATCGATTAAAATTCAATCTTGAATAATTTCGTATTGGAGTAAAATTATGATTGCAATCTAGACATTAGAATTTAAGTATAAATTTATAATTAATTTTATTTTTTTAATTAATGAGAAATCAAAATCAACATTTTGGATCTATGTAATCAATTTGTTCGTGAGGAATATTCTTGTTTTTGAATCTGATGATTTAACTGGCAAAAAGAGATTCTCTCGTTTTTTTCTTTTTCTAGATTTTCTTATTTAAATTGATAGTTGTTAGATTTTCTATTTGGTAGTCTTTTGCTTTTTGCTTCCTCTCTCTCTTTTTTTTTTTTTTTTTAAAGTATGAATTGCTTTCCCTTTTTCTGTTTTCTTTGGTATTTACTTTTTGGGTTAAACGTGTATAGTGAATCGTTGAACCTGGAAATGAAAAGAATCACTTCTTATGTGAATTTTCTGTGATAAGGATACGCGAAAGAGATTATCGAATCTTGTTGATTGTTACTGCCAATTGTCTTTTATATGGCGGTTTTGGTGACATGAGGTAGCTTTCGCTTGCTAAAGCCAACTGATTTTCTCCCTATCTTTTTGCTTCATAGTCTCTGGACTTTCTGGAAGTAAAGAAACTGCTCAAAATCAGGTTTCGGTTGGAATGGGCTTGCTGGCTGGGTCAACTGTGATGCTTATTACAATTATTTGGGGATCATGTGTTGTTGTCGGCAAATGTGACATTCGGGAGACTGATGATGTTGCAATAGATGGAAAAAACACAAAAGAATTCAGCTTAACTGGTACGTTTCTTCTGTTAGAGTTGACAGAGTATTGGCAGAACTTAGAGGTAGATTCTGAAATCTGACTGATTTAAAGGACTAGGACATCAGAAAATGTGGTTAATATAGTTTACCATTTGTTTTGCCTTTGAAGAGGACAGTAGTATTTCTTAGATAATATGCAAACTGAAGTATTAGGTTTAACTTAAAATTTTAAAACTATTGCCTTGATTACTTATATGGCAAAATAAACGAACCCTGACTAGAACTGGAGCTGTGATGTGAAACGCATGAAAATTGTGGTTGAATATAGTAGATGCCTTCATACTCAAAATAATTATTCATGTTTGCAGGCAGCGGAGTCAGTACTGATATTTGGACATGCTACGCTGCAAGGATAATGGCTGTATCTGTTCTTCCATTTATTGTTGTTCAACTACCACAAGTCCTCCATTCAACTTCAGGAAGGCACTTAGCAGTCTTGATTGGGCTAATTTTATCTCTTGCTATGTTGATATCTTACTGTCTTTATCAGGTAACTTTCCTTTTCTTTTCAGTGTACCTAGTTTGTAGATGTTATTAAACTGTTTTTTTCATGGAGAAGTTAAAACCTGCCCCACTTCTTTGTAGCTGTAGAAAATTTATGCCCTCCCGCCCTCCTCTTCCCTTCTGAACCCTCATGTTGCCTTTCTTTTATTTTCATGCTATTCTGAATTGTTTTCAATGATAGAAAGGGGGAAAAGGAGGAACACCTATGATCTGATGCTTTGATGCCATGTTAGGATTTCTGGGGATGCGTGTGTGATAGAGACTATATCTAATAATTACTTCTATCTTAATATCACAAATAAAATTTACAGGGTTTAATTTGACTTGACTATTATGTTAATCTCTAGACAGTCAGATGGTGCAAATGTTTCTGCATTCAATAACATGCTTAATGGTGAAGTTTGATGAGGTTTATTTGATTGTTGTACTTGGTTAAGTGATATGCATGCTTAAATTATCATAAAGTTTTGATTAACTTTATGGTTGCAAGGTTTCCAAGGTAGATGCATATCAAAGTTGAGATTCTTTTGATGCTCTCGTGAAACTTAATGATTCCTCTTTAAGTTTCAATATATTCAAAACCCTGCAAATGGAATTTAATGATCTTTGTACTTGACAAATTATTCTGGCAGCAAATCAACCTCTTGATTAGTGGCAGCCTTTAAGGATCTAAGTGTTATTCCATACTCTATGAACATAAGAAATTTAGGTACTCCTTATCATCAGTTGAGTGACTGCATCCTAAATTTTTACGAGGAACTGTAAACTGACATGCACCTCTTGCAAGGTGACTTGCTGGATAAGGTGGCTTGTTGAGTTTCCAGTTGCTACTTTAATGCAAATGTGCTTAAAACCCGCATATTTTTTTCCATATTGTGTGAGAGATTCACATACAAAGAATCTGGTTGAAGTGTGACTGCTTGCTAGTTTAGATCAGAATTTTTAGAGCCAGGCGTGTTTCTTGTAAATCTAGTTTATTTTCAGTAGTCATGCAATTTGCTTTTGTTAGTCAATGTCAGAATGTGAGGATCTGTTACCATCTGTAAGCTTCATTGAAACAATGTGTCTTTATTTTCCAGTTTTTTGTTCCAACTAATTAATGGCTTATAGCTCCAAGCAAGTGCAAAAAGTTAGCTACTAGTGTATGCTTTCCCTGTTCTAAGATCTGTTGATTCGCTTACAGTGTTGCATATTTGTCTTTAGGATGAATTACTTGTATGGACCAATGTAAAACTGTGCCTACTATATTGTGCACATATTTACTTCAATTTTTTCTTTTTTGCGTAGAAGAAAATTATTGCTAGTAATGTTTTTAATAATTTTTGGACAGCCATACAATTTATGGTTTAACTTGATACTAATCTGGTGTTTTTCCCTTGCTAAAAGTAGGTATGGAAATAACTGAGTTGTTCAATTTAGTAGTAATTAGTAGTTATTGTTATGTGCTCTGCACATTATTTGTGTTTTCTTCTCTTACTCGAATAAGTGAAATGGTATTATATAAAAAATTATTAGATTAATCTTTAATGTTAAATCTTTTTTAAGAAAACAATCTTAATTTTCTACCTTAAACATTATGGCTTATAAGCTTTACTTGCAATTCTTATAGTTTCATTAGTATCTAGAACTTCAAAGCAATAATTATGTTTATTACTTGTGTTAATGACTTCCAACTTTTAACTTATAATTCATTAAATGTATATTTAAAATAAACTATTTATATTAAACATCAATATTCATACAAAAGTCTATAGTTTAATTTAATATTTTGATATTGAACATCAATAATTTAGCAAACACTTTAATAATTCAATCCATAAATTTTATGGACAATTAAAACTTAATCACAATAATTAATACCATTAACTTTTTTTTTAATAGATAAAATATTTTCTTTTAATTTCTATCTAGATATATACACTTCTTCTTAGGGTTTTTTAGAGCATTGTTTTTTCCATCCTTTTCCATTCTCGTTTAATCATTAATTTGATTTTATAAAATAATAAATATCAAGAAAAATAAATTAAGTGAAGAGAATTTAATTTAACTGAAAATTTTAGCATTGTTAATTTCTTGATAATATTTTAAAGCACTTGGTCTTCATCCAAAGATTTATTTAATTTCATTATTCGAAAGTAATCATAACGTGCAGTCTAAACATTTACATTGGATGACAATGTTAAATTTGTAATTAAATGTTCTAAGCCGATCTTGACAAATGCAATTTAATCTTTATGCCATCAATTTCTTTTTCTAGATCAACTATTATAACATTTTGTTTAATTTCTTTGTTTCAAGTCATAATAACATGTATTTTTTTCTTTTTGCTATGCAACTTTATGCCAAAAAAAGAAGGGGGGGGATTTATTAGGAACAAGGAAAACAATTCTCTTCAATAATAATAAAAAAAGAATAGAATTAAAACATATCAAAGACACTACTACTCTTTTAAATTGAGATGTGAGATTTTGTTGATTTGTTTTCTTACATTACCAATTAAAGTAGATTTGGTGAATAAAAGAATTATGAAGGAAAAAAATTGTATGTCAATGCTACAAGGTTATCAAAATTTGACAAAGTTTTGATAAATGAAGAGCCAGTGGTTATTTTTTATAAAGCAAGGTTCAATGGGAATTTTTTTTTTTTTTTTAATTTTTAACACAAGGTTATACATCATTAAACCAATACAACGCAAGAATGAAAAATGTCATTTAAGCATATTCATAATTTTTGTTATTATACTAATAATTTAATCTTCTTTTTAAAGAAGATTAAATTATTTGAGTTGAGTTTTTTTATTTTTGTTGATTCAGTTCTTTTATTTTTAAGTAGGAAGTCAAGAGAAATTTTTTCTGTTATTCTAAGGTTAACTAAATATTTTTTTTTACCACTTTCATGTGCACGGAAGATGAAAAAAAGAAAGAAACTAAAACAAAAAAGCATATTTTCCTAGTTTCTGTTAATATAACTAATAATGGGCTAATATTAATGTCTGTGCTTATAATATATAAAAAAAAAATGTGATTTCTTTGTGAGATTGAGGCGTGAAAAATATAACTAATAATGGGCTAAATATTAATGTCTGTGCTTATAATATATATATATATATATATAAAAAGTGATTCTTTGTGAGATTGAGGCGTGAAAAGATTTTTTTTCTAATCGTAATAAGAAATATCCTATTTTTAAGACATAGAAGTCTTTTAAAATGCCTATTTTGTAGCAACCATTCAAAGAATAATTAATTTATTAATTCTTTTTTTTTTTTCTTTTTTAACTATTTTGTAGCCAAAATAATAACAACTAATCAATTAATACTTAATTTGTTATTTCTTCTACATGTGGACCGATCAAAACAATTTAGTGATGGGCATAATGAAAATTGATCTGAATCCAAACCCTTTTTGTCTTTATAGAAGTTTTAACACTCAAAAACTTATTGTGCTATTTATATGATATATATGATGTTCTAAGGCCCAAATGTTAGATAGCTTGGATTCTTATGATAATTAAGTCAAATAATGTGCGTTTGGTGCTTCCCTGTTATCAGATATTACAGTTTAGCCTTCTATGATCGACTTTTGGGGTTACTTTCCAAATTAATGTTTGGACTTTTCCTTCATATTATATTGTGTAGGTCTTTCAGCCTTGGATCCAGAAGAGACGACTTGCTTATGCGAAGCACAAACATGTGATATCGGGAATTTTAAAGCATTTAAAACAGCGTGCTTTAGGAAGGCTTATGACTGATGAAGGTGTACTGGATGAAGACGTTGTACAAAAGTCAGCTCCATACTTCCATTATGCCCAAAATGATGATCATGCTGTTAGCAGCTTTTTTGCATTTTAACATATACCTCTTTTAATTGGTAATTTTCTAATGTATACCATGCCAGGTTGTTCCACACTATTGATGAGAATGGTGATGGTCGTCTTTCTGCTTCTGAGTTGAAGGCACTGATCATAGGAATCCGGTTTGAAGAGATTGACTTCGATAAGGATGATGCTGTGGCTGAGTTAATCAAAGATTTTGACAAATCTAATGATGATCACATTGATTTGAGGGAGTTCACCAATGGTATTAAAAAATGGCTTGATGAGGCAATGCATGTAGGAGCTGGCTCTCCTAACCCTGGTCCTCGGACATCGAAGATTATAAATGACTTTCATGATGTAAGTTGCACTATTTTGACATATCTTACTGCCAATTAGTACTCTATGATCATATGATTTCCTAATTCATGCAGAAAACTAGGAGAGAACATGATCTATTGGGACCTGAGGAACGAGAGGAGGAACATAGTGATGAGGTTGTTGAGGGTGTTATAAACCCCAGATGGACGTCCTTCAAAGCAGCACTGATGTTGTTGATAGGTACCATTATTGCTGCTGTATTTGCAGATCCTCTGGTGGATGCTGTTGACAATTTCTCTGATGCAACGAGTATTCCTACTTTTTTCATCTCGTTTATCGCACTGCCGTTGGCTACTAACTCTAGTGAAGCTGTGTCAGCAATTATTTTCGCTAGCCGTAAGAAAGTCAGAACAGCCTCATTAACATTTTCTGAGGTGTGTTTCCTATTTACCCCTCCTGATGATTCAATTTCTTGCTCTTTAAATTTAATTATAATTTACTGAAAGCATCTGCAACTATTTGAAAGGTAACTTGTTAATCTAAAATAAAATTTTCGAGTATAGTTTTTATGGCTAGTGTCCGATATTTTGATTTCTGTCAGCCAAAGGAAGGAGTACCAAAGCACACTACTATTCCATGCAGAATGCTATTCGGATGATTTCTATTTCCATGCCGAATGCTATTCAGATGGTTTCTGGCATCATCTCCTCAAAATGTTCTCATTTCAGTTGGCCTGTGATGCAGTATCCTGTCTCAAACCTACCTTATAGCACTAGCTATTTACATGGCAATAAAAAAGGGATATCCTAAGAAACGAGAACTCAATGAACCACTTATGGATGTGACTCATTGTATGGATGGTAGTTGTGCTTTGTGAAAGGTTGCTTTCGGAATGACCCTTATGTTTATTATAGGAGATTAAAGAAAACAAAGACTTATCCTCTGTTTAATTTCAGAGGTAACTTTGTGTCTGGCATATTATATTAGGAGGCAAAATTTTGTGTATTGCATATTATTATATTAGGAGGCAATTTGCACTCTTATGTTGCTATCATCATGCAATCATGAATGAAGAATTGCAGTTTATTTTTGGGTGCTGACCTTCATATCTTTTCTTGCTGCAGCTATATGGGGCAGTCACTATGAATAACGTCCTTTGCCTATCAGTATTCTTGGCCCTTGTTTACTTCAGGGGACTTACCTGGGACTTTTCATCTGAAGTGCTGGTTATTTGTATCGTGTGCATTGTGATGGGTGCCTTTGGCAGCTTCCGCACCACATTTCCTCTTTGGACGTGTTTTCCGGCTTACCTCCTGTACCCATTTTCTTTGGCACTGGTCTATGTTCTTGATTATGTTTTTGGCTGGTCATAGATTTATGCAAGTTGAAAATTGGAGGAGCAAGGTTCTTAGTTTGATCTCGTGGAATGGTTCCTGTTTGAAATTGAACATATGACTGAGATCACAAGACTTACGAGAATTTTTTTTTGGTGTCAAGCGTGATTTTGAATTTTGTTGAACTTAATGAGCTGATCCAAGACTGTTTGCTTGTAATTTCTTATGTCACATTTGTACTTTACATTGCTTTTCATAGACTTCAATAATATGTTCCTGGAAAACAACATTGTATATTCTATTTACGATGATACATAACCCGATCTTTTGCTGTAGGTGGTGATTATATGGTTGCTTGACTTACGAAGGCTTTTTGCCCTCGTCATAGCTAACCAATGCACACGGGACAGTGATTTAACAGACGTCATGAAGAATGCCTTTACAATATATATATATATATATATATATATATTTTTTCCATATTTTCTTTCAAGACTAAATGGATTTTATACGCAAAATAAGGATTCACCTACCAGTAATATTTTGCATATTTTGTTACTTTTCGTAAGGGATATATAAATGCTCCAGCTAAACAGAATAAAACGGGAAAAAGGCATCACACGAAAAATTTCTTGGGGTGGTTGTCGTGTGAGCATGTATGCAACAAGCTTCAGGTTGATGACATGGTTTTGTTGGCTACCAAATCCACCTACGAGCTTCTCTGGAGAAGTGGTGTGGGAACCGTCCTCTCAACTCCTAACAGCGAATTTCCTTCTTTTAGTGCATTCTATCCTTGTTTCCTTCGTGTAAAATTTTAGAAGCGAGATCCAACTGAAAAATCCATGGTGGCTTGGGGAACCAGCTAAAGACTACATTAAAAATCAGTTGACAATTGGAGGATCAATTTAAGTTCTCTCTCTCACTCTCTGGTTCTTTGTTATATATGTATGTATTCTGCTTCAAGCTTATTTCTTATCAAAAGTATAGAATGCGTTGGAAAGGACTATTAATAGCATTGACGTTATGTTATTTATGAATCTTTTTATTTTAAAGATTTCTTTTAAGTATATATAATGTGAATATAAATTGACAATACCAACGTAAATAAAAATATTTTTATGAATCCTTTTGTGTTAAATAAGTTTTTCTTTTTTGATATTAATGATGCTTGTGGAAAGGAATGTATTTTGCAGTTTTTCCGAGTAAATTATAAATTAGTCCCTCTAGTTTCTCAAAATAAATTAAATAGTCCCTCTAGTTTCAATTATTAATTTATTATTTTCTATATTTTAAAATCTTTTTATAACTTTTTTTTTCATTTTTTTCTATTTATTTATTTTTAGTTTAATAAATAAAAAAATAAGTAAAAAATATGAAAAATTAATGAAGAAAGATGACATTTTTTAAGACAAAATAATATTAAATTAACTATGGTCATCATTGGTCAATGAATTAATTAATTAGTTTTTTTTTAAAATTATACTATTTAATTTGTTTTGTAAAACTAGAGGGACTAACTTATAATTTACTCCCATTTTTCATCTTAAATTTTAATCTTCAGTTGTTCACATCTAGTATTATATTTGAAAAGAATGTCTTTATTTGTAATTCTTTCCAATGGTTAAAACACCGTGGATGTTTTTCCTCTATTCTTCCAACTTAGCAATACTATAAACGCAAGTTGAAAACCCATTGTTACTTTTGCGATTTTTCTTGCATATGTACGGTTAAATGGTCATTCCGTCAATTTCAATAATACGCATAGCGGCTTATAAAAGCATGTCGTTTAGCCCCGCGCCACCAGCGAAGACCCATTGTCAATTCGAGGTTATTATATATTTGATGGATAAACTTTTCAGAGTTTTTTTTTTTTTTTGAACGTCTAACTTTTTGTTTTTTCTATTTAAGTGTGTGAATTTTTGAACTTTTTCTGATTAAGTATTTTTACTAGATTTCATCAAATACATTACATGATTGTTAAATTAACACCTCAACATGGTGAAATGTACGACATCTATGTACAAATCTTTCACTTTATTTCTAATTGAGTGTCTATATTTTTTTTTCTATTTTAGTATATGTACTTTTATTTTTTCTATTTGAGTGTTTGTATTTTTTTTTTAAATTAATTTTAAAAGCTAACAACTATCCACTTTGCATGCAATCTTATATAGACTATTGTGACCAAGTTAAATGAAATTAAAATTAAAATAACAATAGAAATAGAAATAATTTTTATTTTTACAATACAAACATAAATAATTTTTTTTTTTTATGAATCCATTTATGTTAAACAAGTTTTTATTTATTTGAGTAAATTATAATAACCCCTTGAGGTATAATGCAATTATAGTAACAATCCAAAAGTTTTAAAATATTACAAGACTCCCTTTTATATCTAAAATGTTCTTAATGTTAAGTAAAATGATTAAAAAATATTTAAAATATTTTGGATAAAAACCACCGAAGATCCTTTCTTATAAAGAGATTTACGTCTCTTATCCTTAAGAGGTCTTCCTCCACCGGCAAGTTTTTTCCGAAACTCAATTCATTAGCCCAATGAAGCTACAAAAACAGATGGTAAGTTCTTGAGAATAGTTATAGAATCGGGCACCTTAATTCTTTATATTCAAAATTTCAATTCAAGTAGTCATTTATTTGGTATTTCGAAGCAGCAATATTGAGATGGGTTTACCTCATATTTAGTCCCCTTATAGTTCTATTTTTTTTTATTGAGACCCTCTACGATTTTTCAACTTGATTGACATCCTCTATTATTATAAATTTATTTATTAAGATCCTCCATTATAATATTGTTAAATATTCATCTTAAGTGGCAAGTTAAAACTAATAGTATCCAATCGAGTATGGACACGCGACATAGTGAGTCTTATATAATAAAGTCCGACTCCAAAATTAAAAAAAAAAAAAGAATTAAAAATATTTTTAATAATAAACTAATGTTTAAAATTTAAAAAATAAATTGAAAAGATAATTTTTTCCCCATCATATCATCCCAAATTAAATCCATAGAAAATATCATAAACTCTCGTTCTCTCTCACAATCTCCTCACAAAACTTTGCTTCTTCTACTTCTCCTCTTATCAAAACCCTAAGTTTTCTAAATCTTCATCTCCCTTACTTGCCTCGGTCTCCTCTTTCTTTTCATCTAGAGCACCACCTCATCCTCCTCCTTCTTCGCAACCAAAACATCATCTCCTTCGATTTCATCATCTTAAAACCATCTCTCTCCTAATTGAAAGACCTCATATTGATTCTCGCTCTATCCAAATTCATAGCGATGCCATTCTTTAGTTCATCAATTTTGATCTTTGGGATTTTGAACCCAATCGAGCTCATCGTCCCAAATAGCAAAAAATTATCCTTTTACTCTATCCGATCAAGAAATTGAGAGAAAATAAAACAAGAGAAGAGAAAGAAAAAAATGTCAAGCGAGAGGAAAATAAGGAAACCGGAGACAAAAGGCGGTGATCTGCTATGGATGTCATCTATGCTTTGCGGAGGTAGGGCCGCACTTTATATGGTTTTGATGGTTAAGGAATTTGATATAGGGTTTTCTTGCAATTTATGTACTAGGTTGATTGGGTTTTGAATGAATGGCTCTTGTTATTTATTTTGAATGAATGAATGAATGAATGAATGACTTGTTTTAAAACTAGATTGATTTTCGTTTATTGTGATTTGCTTCAATTTTAAGATATTGTTTGGATAATGAGAAAGTGTATAAATCATTAAGAAATGAATTGATATAATAGATTTGGGATTCTGTTTGCACATTGTTTTGCACATGCACCAGTTTCATTCCAATTAGACCTTTTCTTCGAAAGGTTGGAATCAACAATCCTCTATGTTGTCGTCCGAACAAAACTTCATCACTCCAGAGTTCTACAAATATTTGAAAATAAAAAACGACTCATCTTCTCGGTTAAACTTTGGCAAGATTGCCAAAAGTTCATTGTGGTAAGAAGGTTTTGACTAGGTCAAATTTCGATTCAAGCAATGAAACATTAGATCTCAAAGGAGAAAAAGGCTTAGAATGTTAAAAGGAATTGGTGGTTATCCATGTCATGATTTGTTAGCTCATGCACCTTGGTGATGGATTACTAGTTGCTCATGATAGAGTAAGGAGCTTCAATAGTTCATTGTTTCTTTTTCTTTTTTCCTCTCTCTCTCTCTCTCTCTCTCCTACTCTTATGTTTGGTGTTTTCTTAAACCTAGGTTTCTTATTCTTCTTCCTCTTCCTTGCATTCACATCGAGTGATAATCCTTAGACAAAAGTAATTTGTGTTGGGTTAATGGGGTTTAGAGTTGTTTAGGGATTTAGAGATTTTAGAATTTATGGGTTTTAAGATAAAAAAAGAGAGAGAGGATTTGGAGAATTAAGTTTGCCGGACAAGAGCTAAAAAATTTAGAAGAAATTAGGTTTGGGTGGTATAGTAGGCATAAGGGCATTTTTATCTTTTTCTTTTCATTTTAATACACTAACATTAGTTTAATGATATAAATCTTTTTAATTCTATTAGTTTTTAGTTTCAGAATTATAATCTCATATTTGCAACTTGTATTCTCATGTGTCGGTATCTAATTAGTTATCGTTATTTTTAACATGCTACGTTAGCATACAATTAACAAAGGGTTTAAATCAATAAATTTGTAAGAATATAGGGTTTCAATCAAGTTAAAAAATCATAGAGGGTTTCAATTAAAAAAAATAAAAAATGTATAAGCACCAAATATGGGTAAACCCATATTTAGATCCAACTTAGCCAAAAAGTTTTTAATTCACCCCATAATTCCCTAGTTGTTCAACTGTTGTTGAGCAATTTTTAGATATTAAACAAACCAAGGTGATTTAAATATGGTCTAGATAAATATTTATTGCTAGGCAAGATTATAGCAAGTTATAATTTTTTTCTTAACAGGATATCCATGTATTTTATTTCTATTACTAAAAAATTTATAAATGAAGTTATTGATAAATCTAACAGTTTGAGTATAGTTAAGATAAAGTTAAAATA